GAATGCATCCAAGTGTTTTACTTGCATGCCACCCCAACCCCTAAAAAGCTTTCGGATTACTCCCTTCCTGAGTGATTGCACTTCCCTCGTTGTCAAGTGGTTCTATACCCTGTGTTTTACGACGTCGTGCGGATCTCATAGCCGGGTCCTCGACTATCTTCCAGTTATGCTGCATCCTGTAATACAGCTCCAGTTCTCTGTTTGTACCGGCCTTGGTGAGGGCGTTGGCGAGTTGGGCTTCTGAATGCACCCAGCGAATCTCCACCCCTGTGCGGATTTGTGCTTCTTTAAGTCCTAACAACTCAATGTTCGACTTCTTCTCGGCACCACGGATTATCAATACTTCTGTTTGCAGTTTGTCAAACACATTCCTTGAGTCTGTAATAAGGCCTCCTCGTACACGTTGCACGGTAGCATCGGGAGCTCGGACATCGACCTCACCATAAAGGATTTCCCCCCACTGATACCTAGCGTAGTACAGTAGGTCCTCCCCGTTGATGGCCGCTTGAACTTCTGCGGCACCAGGACTTCGGCACATGCGATCAATCTTAGTACTGTGCCAACTCACGGGAGTCACAGCTCCCATGTCTCCTCGAAACATGGCTTCAGGCCCTAGGCCCACGAAGATTCCCTGAGTGCTACCCCCATCGGGCCGATTGCCGTCGGAGGCATCAACCCAAGCATATAGGGCTAGGCGCTCCTGAGGCGTGTAGCCGTGGATCTTCATCTTGTGTTCCCCTCTGGCCTTCGTGTGGTAGAGGAGAAGGTTGGCACGCAACAGCGTGTTGACTGTTCCCTTGCTTAGCTCTGAAAGTAACAACCCTACTTCCGCCGAGACGTGAGGAGCCACTTGCTGGGCATGCCAGCTTAAACCACCTAAGAGCGTCCGGCCTTGGGATTTCTCCTTCTCGGTCAACTCCGCGGTCTTGTCCTTGCGACGGCTGGAACTTAGGCTGATTTCGTGTAGACCTTCCAAGTAGTGGGGCTGCGACAACTCAAAACCCTCGGTGACTCTGGTCACCTGCACTCCACATTGTACAAAGGTATTGTCCTCCCAGTCGCCCCATTTGAAGCGAGTGCGAATGGCCTGCAGAATCTCCTGCCATTCTTTGTCGTCTTCGGCTCCACTGAACAGGAAGTCGTCCACATGGCCTGATATCATCCCTCGCAGCTCGCCTTGGGGCCGCCACACCCATGCACATGGGTCTGACCACAGTCGCTGAAGGCCTAAGCTTTCTAGAAACTCTGTAACCGTCCTGTACCACTCCAATGGTGCGTCCACTAGTCCGTAGCACGCGCGCCGCAAGCGCGTCACGCTTCCTGCCTCAATGCCCATAGCCTCGCAGATCTCTGGGCAGGGAATGCAATACAGCTTGTCCGGATATTCCCTTCCTTGGAGGAAAGCTCCAGACACATCCCCCTTCTGGATTTTCCAGTGTCTTTGTGCTGTAATCTGTAATTGCATCTGACGCGTCTGACGAGTCATTACTGGAGCTGTAGTTCCTCTGAACTCGTAGTTGGGGTCTTGGAAGCCAAGAAGCACTGCTCTTGCCTTTGCCTTCCGCTCTCCAGTATCTTTCACCTTCCAGGTGAGAATCCACCTCATGCCGATAGCACATTCTCGAGATGGTTTGAGGTGCTCCGGGAGCACCTCAAAGGCTTTGGCTGCTAAAAAGTTGCGGACCTCGATTCCTTTCGCTTCTCTGAACTGTTCTCTCTCGCCTGGCTCCAGTCTTCGTTCACTGATCTCCACTGCACGCCGGCGGATCGCGCCGGCAAAGTAGCCCGTCATGTTGTGCAGCAGCTGCTGGGTTCCTCGCTTGCTGGTGGGCATGTCTAGCTCCACCGCTACTGCTGCGGCTTCGTCTGTCCAGTAAGTTTCTTCCTGCGTCACCCAAGCTGCCTCGGGCACCTTCTCCCACCAAGGGGGAGCTTCTGCAAAGCTCTCGGTTCCCACTGCTGACGGTGGGCTAAGGCGGGGACGACTAGGCGGTCCTTGGGAGCTCGCGGCGGGCTCATGGTGGCTTTCGTCCATATCCACATCCTCGGTGGCCGGGGCTGGTCCCGGTCGCTTCCTAGTGAGCCGCACGCGTCGTGGCTGTAGCTCCTGTTCAGGGTCCTGTGCCCTGTGCCATTCCTCTGCTGGAGGAACCTCGTCTGAAATGTCCCTAAACTGATTACCGCCGATCTCCTCAGCCACCTTAGTGAACGTCCAAGGGGTGACATCCCTCTCCATCAGCGATTCAAGCAACTCCTCTCGAGGAGAGGCTCGCCTGAGCTGCTCAGGGCAGCACTTCAGCAAACTCCGGCCTCGAACGAGCCACACAGAAGAACCGGGTTTCAAGGTCCCGTCAGCTTCCCGGCTTGACTCCACCGCCAGTATCCTGGCGGGTCCTAAGAACCGTCCTTTCTTCGAGCTTGGTGATTTCTTGGACTGGCCTGACTCCTGGGTACGCCAAAAGAAAACCAGTTCCCCTGGCTCGAAATCCAGAATGGGCTTATGCCTGGAGTTAGCAGCTCGATTGAGGCGCTGTTGGGCCTGCCAGCTCGCATGAGCTCGCTCGGCCTCGGCTCGTAGCTGAGCCGAGCGCTCAAACTCGCCTGATACATTCTCAATCAGCAGCTCGGGTGGCAGTTCTTGTACAGCGTCGATCACCCTTCCAGATTCATCGGGACTCCGGCCTAGTGCGTGCTGAACTGGACTGAACCCTCTAACTAAATCCCTCTGATTGAAAGTCCTGATGGCCGTTGACAAAGCCTCTTCAAGGCTGATGTCCTGATCAAACTCACATAACTTCGACATCACCTCCTTAATTCCCTTGATAGCACTCTCGCAAGCCCCAATCTTCCAATGAGCCTCTCCTGGCACAATGTCCAAAAAGATCCCATGTTGATCACAATAGGTTTCGAGCATCTGGCTTCGGAAGGGGCCTGCGGGGTCCAGCCGGAGGGTGCGAGGGTGTCCGAAAACCTGGGTCCAACCCTCCTGAAAGTACCTAATGCAGGACATGGCACTGGGAGTTTGTTTCGCTCCATGGGTGAGGATTCGGGCCATCCGAAAACGGGAACCTTCATCTAAGATCAACAAGAACTGCACGTGTTCCCTACTGTGAGGATGCTGGAAGTGGCCTACATCAGCTGACACAGTTGCCCATTTGGGTGGAAGCGGTTCCAGCGATGCCATGTGGCGTGATGTCACTTTCTGACGCTCAGCACAGATAGAACACTTGAACTGTTCGGCTTGTCTCAGAACCTCCTCGGGAGCTCCCCGCTTCTTCAAGGCTGCTATCATATGTTTCGTGCTGCAGTGGCCCGTGGCCGCATGCAACAAGTAGAGTTTCTTCTGGATCCTATCCCGGTTCTTGGCAGCCTCCCTTGTTTGTGCGCTTGGGGCCTGGTTTGAAACCTCGTTCACAGGATACGCTTGGGGCTGTGGGGAAGACTGCTTCTCCTCAGGCCTCATCTTAGGTAACCGAAAACCCCAGCTTCCTAAGTCTTTCTTCTGCTCATCAGTCAAATGATGCACTCCCCTACTGGTAAATGCCGTCAGAGTAACCCGGTTACCCTGCCACTTCAACGGCCCGTGCCAGGCCTTTCCATTGAAGCGTACTGCTTGATGATGGATGTTGTGTTTTTGTCCTCTGACTCTGCGTCCATCCGGCAGAGTCTGCGTGCATCCCTCAGATTCTGAGATGTCAGGATCCTCAACCCACAACTCGCCTTGTTGATAATCCCCGAAACCAAAGATGATACTGGCCTCTTGCGGATGATTATGCACGTCACGATGCAGAGGAAGATACTGATTTCTGTTCACCGTCAGGGTCGACCAGCATTCATGCTTCTGGGTTTTGCTACTTATGAAGGCATTGAAGTACTTCAGGGTTTCGGGATAACTTTGGCAAACGACTGTAGTTCCGTACTGCGCGCCGTGGCTGAAAGCTCCAAAGGTCTGATACTCCGTAGCCCGACCCTGAACCATCTCCCTACGACCCTTCATTGCCCGCGCGGGCAATGCCTCGAGGATCTG